AGCGAGTAGCACCGCCGTGGAAGCCCATTGGGGCGACTACCGTCTTCGTCTAGCAGCCCCTCCTCTTTGATGTTGTTGAATCCCTTTGCCCGTCTTGTGAGGCACTGAAAGTTGGATTTTTTTGGGCCGACATGAGATTAGTTATTCTCTAGATTTTACCAGGTGAGAGTGCATCCGATTTTCGAAGCTTAATTGAGACACTATCAAACAAGACCTCAAAACAGCAGCATTCTTGCAGGGTTTCAAGGACATGGGATTTCATGGCCTCCCATGTTGGAGTTTGCTTTTTAATGTTAGAGAAATTAATGACTGGGAGCTTTATGTTTTCATAGCCTATAACTTTTACTTGCATTTTTCTTCTTCTCTCCTTTTTTTTCTCTTTGAGAGAATTTTGGTTTTATGGTTTTTGAGTTATCTTTTGATATCAGACATTGTGAACTTTTGTTTCAATAACATTTGTAATACTCGAATTTCTGATACGGAGGATCATCTCTAAGATGCAACCGTAGAGCATACTCTCGTTATATTACAAATCGAGCTCTATGGGCAGAGACTCGTGCTGATAACGTGTTATAAAACTATAGAGAAAGAGAGAGTATAGAGAAAATGTTTTTCTTAGGTACATTTTCATTATAACTGAAACTCCTATTTATAGGAAACTTTCGATGGCACAACTTGTAATTATACAAATACATCGAGGGCAAAATAGTCATTCACATATATTATTTTATAATAAATAATTCACAACAATTATAACATTAATGCCAAAAAAAAAATGCGCTCCCTTTTTACGAAGTATGGAATGATTGATCGGGTCGATCCCTAGAGATAGGCGACTCGAATTTAGAATCAGCGTCGACCATACACAAAAAGAAAATAAAGTCATAAACACAAAAGGGAGTGGGTGAATTATCTAAAATTAGAAAAAAATCATAAAATGAATAAACAATAAGAATAAGCTAAGGAATTGGGGATAATCGTTTTTAATTCCAAACGCATCTATCGGTAATTAATTGTTCGGTTAAAAGGATTCGACTACCAACATGTATAGAAATTTATTCTCAATAACTTTTTGTAACAAGATAACAAACGTGAATGGCAACTTGTCAAAATCAACTAACCCGTATGCAATACGGTTACGAACAAGTCTACCCTGTACAAGACAAGGTAACAACTCCTCCTCTTTATGTTATAAAAGTTATTTAATTGCATTAGAAGACACGACCACACCACACGAGTCTAGGTTCAACAATTATTCACTTTTCGGTCCTACATGTTGTTTAACTAGTGTTTGATCAATCAACTAACCCCTAAAAATAAAGTAACTCGCAGTTTTGTGCCCAAGAGGTTCCATACCTTAAACCGGATTGGTGTACTCGCCGGTTATCGGTTGAACCGGTCGGACCGACCGGTCCGGTCCGGTTTTGACAACCTTGGTATAAACGCGTATGGCCAAAGTGGCCATAGTTCTAACTCGGCCCAACATTCCAAAAGCGAGCGTATGAGAATGCAGATGGGTAGCTTAAGTTCATTTGAGAATGTTATGGGTAGTTTGAGTTCATTGAGCTCCTCGATCAAACACCCTGCACATAAGAACCAAAACAACTACACGAAGCCACGAAAACCAAGAGAAACAAAAATAAGGAAAAAACACAAACACAAAAATCACAAATTAAGGAGAAACACAATAAACTAGAATCAACACTAGACTAAAGCTAAATATCTTGTGTGCCTCCCTCGGCAACGACGAAAAAATTGACGTAGCATATTATATTTTTACTAAGTACAAGATGATTTTCGATCTCGGGTTGATTTATCGATGAGGGCAATGTGTAATTTAGAATCAATATTGATTACACACGAAAGGAAAACAAAGTCACATACACTCTAATCGCAAAAAGGGAGTGGATGAATTATCTAAAACTACCAAAAATCATAAAACGAGTAAATAACAATTAGAAACAAGGGAGTCGAGGATAATCGTTGCTAGTTTCAAAACTACCAACATATAATTGTTCGGTTAAAAAGATTCGACTACCTACACGTCTAGAGATTTATTCTCAATAACTTTTCGTAACAATAGAATAAACGTGAACAAATTCTCAAAACCAATTAATAAGTAGACAATGCAATTATGAACAAGCCTACCCTATACAATCCTTGGTCGAATAATTTTTTTTACAATTTTTTTGTTTAAAAAAAAAAATTGTGTAAATGGATTAGAATAACACGATCACCCCGTTCGAGCTTAAGTTCAACAACTCCTCTTTTTTCGGTTCTATAGGTTGTCTAATTAGTAAGTGATGAATCGACTAATCATTAAAAATCAAGCAACCCACATAGAATGAACAATTCTCAACCTTCATTGTCACAAAAGAACAGGAACAAAAAACCGATAAAAAAAAGAACAGGAACAAAAGAGAATGGGGACAATTTTGAATGTTTTTTTTTTTTCAAAACGAAAGATAATTCATTCAAAATAACAAAGTACAAGCCGAGGGGCCACACCCCAATGTTCAATACAACAAATGAGACTATCCTGCAAGATAGCCTAAAACCAATGCTCCCTAAAATAAGCAACTATAGGCTGAAAATATCGGAAAACCTACTGTTGCAACCACACAAATGGGACTAAGAATAATGAACAGGCCAAATGATTATAACAGCAACCTAGCAACAAACAGACTGATAAAAATGAGGAAAAAACAGAAAAAGACAATGCTCCTCCACTGAACCAAAGGACCTAGAAGACATCACTATCTTATCTGCAGTCCCTTTAACATTTGCAATGTTTGAACTCCAGCCAGTCATTGTGAGCTGCTCTGACAGCCTGGGCAGACATCCATGAGTCTTGGAATTTCCTTAAGCATCTAGACTTCCAGAGCCACCATAAAATGTAGGTGGAGAGCTCAATTATATCTTTAGAGCCTGGACAGTTTTGTATGTTGACATTTTAATTTTTCAATTCATCACGTATAACAAATGAGTACCTCAATAAATGCAAATTTCGTATAATTTGATGACAATTTTTTTTATCGCAATAATTAACATCTTAAATAAAGTGAATTGCTATTCACCGCCACCAAATTATGTTTTTGCCCTTCGCTACTCTCTCTCTCTATTTTCCTATCGATTTTATACGGTTATTTTGACCATAAAGAAAATTCAAAAAAATGCTAAGAAAATAGCATGACATCGACAAGACATTGAAGATTGATCAATGTTTTTTTTTACTTTATAAATAATTTTTATTTTTTTTTTTATTTTTTTGGCACGTCCTACCGGCGTACCGAACGCGCCAAAAAAATAAAATAAAAAAATTTAAAAATGATCTACAAAGTAAAAAGAAAATACATAGTCAATCTTCAATGTCTTGCCGATTTCATGGTACTATTTTCGTATTTCTTCAAAAACAAATTTTACGGTCAAAAGAGCAGTAGAAAATCGACAGCTAAAGAGTCTCGAGAGAGAGTAGCGATGGGCAAAATTGTAATGCTGAATAAATAATACTTCCCCAATTATTGTCGCTCTTTCATAATATAAGGGAGGGAAGCTAAGGGCTTGATTGTTTACTAAATATTTTACTCACTTTTATTTGAACTCAAAATTTAACTCAACTTTAACTCAACTCCACTATCTTTAATATTATTTATATAATTAAATAATACAAACCAATCATTCTTACACATCACATCAACTTTAATTCACTATTCATCCACTCACATAATTTTAACTATCTATCATTTCTAATCATTTCCAATCATTTATCTCTTACTTTTACATCAAATAAATTTTAATCATTTTATTTTAAATATTATTTTAATACATTCTTAAAATTCCACTAACAACTAACCATACACCTTTTTTCAAATTAACTATGGTTAATCAAAATAATTCATTTTGAACAAATTATTTCGTAAACAATCAAACCCTAAATAAAAGAAAAAAAGGAAAAACAAGAAAAGGAAACAGTGAAAACGCGACGCATCCTCACCTTCTCTATCGCATCCCCGATTAACGGGCGCCCGCCCTTCTCCTTTTTCCATCTCATTCATTCGTTTTGCTTAGCATCTCTTGTTTGCCAATTGGGTTGTTACCCCCTTTTTTTTAGGGTAAATTCAAGGGGAAGAAGGTCAGCTAGTTTATTTTTGCTTTGCTTTCCTTTGTTTTTTCACTCCGTATTATTAGGCGCACAGTTTAATTATCGCATATTCGACTGAAGTGGGTATGGATGGCCTTCTTCATTTTGAAAGAAAAGCATAAGCAGTGTGTGATTAAATATTACTAGATTGCAGTTTATTGGTTTCTTTTTTTGTTTGGAGAGTTGGCGTTTTGTTTGTTTGTGTTTTATGATTTTACAGTATAGCATGAATATCTTATGCGTATTTTTCAGCTAGTTTATGAAGAAAGATTTCAACTTGTTGATTATTGTGTGACATTCAATGACATTACTGCTTGAGCTTTGGTGTTTATATTTAGCTGAATTTGCCCTTTTATTTCTCGGGCTTCTGTTAGTTATCGAATTGTTATTTTGTATTTTGATTTTAAAGCCCTATCTGTCATTTTTTCTAAACGGAGAATTGAATCTTTCGGCCTGCACTGTTATCAGATGCAGACTTCTATGTTCATCACAGATTGCGCCATGTTTTGTTCGAAAGTCATACCCATAAAAATGAAAATGACGTTAAAAATATAAAAAAATGAGTTTGGCGAGATATCTCCAGCTTTACGTTAATGCATCTTGTTTGATGCTGGAATAGCGTAAATGTATTTGCATTAACAATCTCATTCTTGTGGGTGATGTAAGCAATATAATTTCAACTCCTTTTATGGCAGGTCTGTACTTTTCCACTGAATAAGTTCCAATGTATGCAAGGACAATAAAGCACAAAAACCAAAGATGGAATTACTTGCTTCAGCAAAGCAAATATTTTTTCAGTTCTAACTTTGGTGATTTCTCCGTGGGACAATGCCTGAGCCCTTTACCAAGTACGAGCAGTTTGACCCGGAGATATTTATCAAACACTTCAAGTTTGTTTGGACTAGCTTCCCGGAGAAAATGCACAAAATTGCATTGGAGGTCGGATGTTCATTTGAGAAACTTCCCGCCAAGATTTTATAGTTCGGAAGGTGATGGAAGGAACACAAGTGAGGACAAGCATGTGGACAGCAAAGCTGTTGCTGATTGTGAAAAGGCAAATATTCCTTCTCGAAATACTGCAGATAGTGCATGGCACAGTGATGCTCATGCCCGACTAGGGAAGCAAGATCAACTGGATTGGCTAAAAAATGAAAAGCTTGCTATGGAGAACAAGAAAAAGGAGTCCCCCTTTCTAACTCGTCGGGAAAGATTTAGAAATGAGTTTTTGCGAAGGATTGTTCATTGGGAGAAAATAACCGTCTCGTGGGATACTTTTCCTTATTATCTTCAGTAAGTGCTCTTATCATAAATTTGAATCTGCTTTTGTCGCATTTGATATTTTTATCTGGACCTTGAGTCATTATTCTTGCAGTGAGAACACCAAGAACCTTCTGGTGGAATGTACAGCCTCCCATTTGAAACATAAGAAGATTACAACTGATTATGGAGGCTGTTTGACTTCTTCGAGCGGGAGGATTCTGCTCCAGAGCATTCCAGGTTAGTTTTCTTGATCGACCTTACTTCGATTTTCCTTATCATCATAAATTGTTAGCAATAATATTATTAACACAACAAATAAAGTGTGTGTTTTTGTATACTTATGCTCATGCATTTATATTTCCCTTATTTCCATCTTATTTATTAAGAATAAATACTTGGTTTGAAGGAACGGAGCTATACCGGGAAAGATTGGTCAGAGCACTTGCTCGAGACTTACAAGTTCCCCTTTTGGTGCTTGATGGCAACATTTTAGCTCCTTATGTAAGTTCACAACTTTAATATCCCCCACCGGCCCACGTGGTGGGGTCTGCCTCTCTTCTGTCTGAAAGATTTGTGCATTTTTGGCTTCCTTTCTGAATCATTCTTGTGTAAATCCTTTCCACGATGTCCGTTTCCTTCTTTCGCAGTGCTAAGAATTGTCTGGACAAAAACGTGTTCTCTCATCTTATGAGTAATTCTTTCAATTCCTTACGTGGTTGATTTGTCCAGGATATTGGTGAAGATGAAAGTGAATCAGATGGGGACAACTCTGAGTGCGCTTCTGAGTCTGAAACTGAGGATGAAAATGATGCAAGTAATGAGGAAGATTATACCAGCAGTGGTGAGACTAAAGCTGAAGGTAGTGATGATGAAGTTGATATTAATGCGTCAGTTGAAGATCTGAGGAAGCTGATACCATGCAACATTGAAGAGTTTGAGAAGGTAATAGTTTTTGCAAAGTATAAAAACTTAACTTATTCTGCTCGTAGGGAGAATGAACAGAAGGCATAAGTGCAAAGTACTGTATTGCTCATGATTCACTCAAAGTTTTATGAGGCTGTGAGCTGATCTTTATATTCTTCGCACATGCATTAAGAGACATGCTCTGGCCTGTCTCAAGATACTTATCAACTTTATTCACATGTTACTAGAGAAGAAGTAAGAGATTCTCTTTAATTACCTGATGTTGCTGAAACTTAGTTATTTTTAAATGCACACGATATTTGTGATGGTTTTTAGGGATCAAAGGACTATATTGAGCCAGGAAGTAGATATGCATTCTAATGATTTGATGCTGTATGGCAGAGTGTTTCTGGAGACACTGAAAGCTCGTCCACATCCTCAAAAGCAGAAACTGAGGAGCCATCTGAGAAAGCTAGCCTTCCACTAAAGAGAGGTAATGAACGCTACTGGAAAACAACAGTATAACATAAAGAGTGCCACATTTCATTTCTTGTTATCAGTGTTGCAGAACTTGGCCTAGGGGGGCCCTACTTTAGGCAGCCCTGGCCTTCTGAGAACCTATTATCAGCCAGAACTTTCAGTCTCATTAGTTGTCTACTCCTTGGCCTATGTTAACTTGACCTGCCAACTCGGTCCTGAATGATGGAATTGTTTTATTTTATTTTATTTTTAAACCAAAATGTCCCTACCTTTTTAATAAATAAGAAATAATTTGGTGCCAAGCTTGGTGCCTGCATAGGCTCTAGGATGCCCTATACTGCCCGGCTAACGTCTAGCAAGTTTTGCGACCTTGCTTGTTGTAACATGGTGATATTACTAAATGGAAGGTGTCATTTATATCTCGCAGTGTCTTATTCCTATTAATTCTAAGAATCTTGATAGATTAACTTTTCAATTATTTATTTTGTTGATTTACATATATTTATATATCTGTTCCAGGTGACCGAGTGAAGTACATTGGGCCTTCCGTTTGCATTGAAGCGAATAACAGGTAACTTTCTTCATAATATCATGTGTTCCGGAACTATCCTATTGTCTTCTCTTTTCACCAATACTTCTTTTACGAGCATTGTCGATGAATATGCTTTACATGTTGTGTTTTCTTGAAAGAAACTGAGAGAGCCCTGCAGTTGTAACTGACTATTGAGGTGGATCTTGGAATGATTTAGTTTCTCTATGGAATATATGCTAATCTGTGCGGTGTAACACATTATTTGCTTGTTAACATATTCTTTTGAGAACTTCATTGTCTGATTACTTTTCGCCGAGGTTCCTTCTCACAGTTACTAATATGATTAACTTTGTGGTTGCCATGCAATTTGATTTACCCAAGCCTGTGTTCTAATATGAAGTTCTGAATTCTTTTATTGCTGATTGCTAGTTGCCCC